TTGGATAACTGAATCGTTACTAGTAGCTTACTAAACTACGACAGGTATATATCAGGGCCTGACAGGTCGGCCAGTTGGAGTTGTCCTTAGGCTCATTCATCTGGTCAAGCGCCCCAAGCAGAGTTGGGCAATTGTACCAGTCAAGGCACAAGGTTGTAGCCGACCTTCGCGCCTTGTACTTGGAAGTAGTAGAGTCCATCTAAAAAAGAGCAGAGCAGCAGAAGGATAACTTTAGTTAAATGGAACTCGCAGCTCATATGGCACTGGAAGATATTGCCAACAGATAGCAGCAAGATGCTGTCAAAAAAACAGATAGCAGCAAGAGACATGATTTACTATAAACAAAATACGGAGTATGAAACTGCACAACAGTTCTGATTATACACAGTGAGCATCTACTAGCCGTACTTGGCGGTCTCAACTTCCAGAGGGCAATATCAATAGTGATACCTCCACATACTTGAATCGCCTCTTGTTCTTCTCAGCGGCTTCCTTCTCGAACCTCTCCATCACGCGCTTGTCAATGCCTCCAAGCTTGTAGATCAGGTGGCCAGTGGTCGTCGACTGGCCCTGAGTCTTCTTCTTACCCACAGCTGAAGGGTTCACAGGCAAACTGCACACTTCAAAATAATAAACAAAACTCAGAAAAAATTAGACCCACGGACCAGGATGAATAACTGGCACGAACTGGAACACTATTATCTCAGCAGAGGAGCATACAAATTAGTAGCGTCATAGTTTCATCAGAAGATGCTATACATCAAGAAGATTTACAGGTTGATCGGGCTAGATCTATAACAGTTAACAGACAGTGTGCAATCACTAGTTATATCTACAAGATTACGGAAGTACCCTATGAAATTAAGATACTGGTCCATCTACCAACAGATTCAACTAAGTTACCGAGATGATTCAGTGTTATAACAGCTGCTCTATAAATATAAAAACATAAACCGTAGTAAATCTACAGATCGAGACAACAGTACGAGCATGGAGAAAATCCTTCAGAGACAACAACACATCCACGAAAGAAGCAGGCATTTTTAGGCCAGCGTGTCGCATAAGGAAAGGAAGTTAGAGTTATGGAGGCAAACCTTGAAATCGAAAGGGTTTAGGCTTAGTAGGACTAAAACCGAGTACATGATGTGCGGTTTCAGTACTACTAGGTGTGAGGAGGAGGAGGTTAGCCTTGATGGTCAGGTGGTACCTCGGAAGGACACCTTTCGGTATTTGGGGTCAATGCTGCAGGAGGATGGGGGTATTGATGAAGATGTGAACCATCGGATCAAAGCCGAATGGATGAAGTGGCGCCAAGCTTCTGGCATTCTCTGTGACAAGAGAGTGCCACAAAAGCTAAAAGGCAAGTTCTACAGGACGACGGTTCGACCCGCAATGTTGTATGGCGCTGAGTGTTGGCCGACTAAAAGGCGACATGTTCAACAGTTAGGTGTGGCGGAGATGCGTATGTTGAGATGGATGTGTGGCCACACGAGGAAGGATCGAGTCCGGAATGATGATATACGAGATAGAGTTGGGGTAGCACCAATTGAAGAGAAGCTTGTCCAACATCGTCTGAGATGGTTTGGGCATATCCAGCGCAGGCCTCCAGAAGCTCCAGTGCATAGCGGATGGCTAAAGCGTGCGGAGAATGTCAAGAGAGGGCGGGGTAGACCGAATTTGACATGGGAGGAGTCCGTTAAGAGAGACCTGAAGGATTGGGTATCACCGAAGAGCTAGCTATGGACAGGGGTGCATGGAAGCTTGCTATCCATGTGCCAGAGCCATGAGTTGGTTGCGAGATCTTATAGGTTTCACCTCTAGCCTACCCCAACTTGCTTGGGACTAAAGGCTTTGTTGTTGTTGTTGTTGTTGTTGTGTCGCATAAGGAAATAGATCGACCACCGTGTTTGTTTCAACTTCAGAGGTTTTCACCTCTGGGCGCACCTTCTTCTACATTTCATTCATCCTCTACATTTGCTCTTGCTTGTAGTTAACCAACACAGCTCCTGCCTGCCTGCATTTTACCGCCACACAAAAAAGAAGAAATGTATTATACATAGCCTTGAATCAAGCAAGTCGACACATTAAGTTTCAACTTTGACTGTCTTGTTAGGAATTCACCTTTTAAATCATCACAACAGAGTGAATCATGCTGCTTTGACAGCACATAACTACAGCCAGAAAAGAGAGGTATAACTACAACTTGGTTCCACGCTTCACCAACTCAGCTGAATCAGATTCGGAGCTCAGCTCGGCTTCGAACCTCTCCATCCAACTTGCTAAACCCCTATTCCCATGTGATTGTGCCTGCCAAATAAACAGGGAATGAAGTATTCGCAAATTAAACATTCATCTTAACAGCAGCATCCATCCAGGTTGATTCCCTGCTCTGGGCAGCCACAACTCAGTAACACATGAGTGACCTTCTAACAGTACAAACCCACTACAAATATTATTACATGGAGCTGAAATAAGTACTACAAGGACAGTAAGAATATGGGAAAAGTTGCTTCTGTTAATAGCTCAAAGCATATAAGCAGCACAGTGCCAGGTAGCAGAAGCAAGAGGCAAATAAACACTCTGGACTAAATTTCTAACTAAGGAGTTGGGATGGTTCCACATGTACTAACCAATTTTCTGTACAGGATGGAATATACAAAACTGAGATCTTTCATGCTTGCACCAGAAACTCAGATTGTACTCGGACATGGAAGAACTACACAAGACTAGAAGAATGTGCAAAACGAAGCCCTGCACGGCACATCTAAGATAGCAATTGCTTTGTCTTACGAGTTCAGGAAAAACAAGGGAAAATGGTGGATGTGATTCATGGAAGTTTTTGTTACCTTGTATTAGTCGATGATTGGAATGGTTCCTTTCAACTTGCGGCACCACCTCCTTAGGTCCTGATTTTGCCACCGTCTTGGACATTTAACACTTGCAGGGAATTTGGATGGCAGTGATTTACGGAGAACATCATTGAGCAGTGACTCCGGAGCAGCACAGTCAAGAGGTTAGCAAAAAAATCAGAAATCATAGGAGGTTGTAGTTATGCAGTGATGTCAGGGCATGAAAACAAATGATCTCTAAGGTATGCAGTGAACTTGTGAGAAATACATGCAGAAAAAAGAACTTTTGGATTGGAGGCATCAGCCGCTCTAGCCCTTGTTCATCTTTTCTTTTTATATGTGCATTCGGTGTGTTAAGAAACCCTGTACTTTACCTTGTTGGCTGTGTTTCTTTTAGTGGAATCAAGGGGAAACCCTCTTATCAGGAAAAAAAGATGCAGCACATAGGTCAAGTATCCGTATCGGATGCCGTATCCGATACTGAAGCTTTCCCAATATGGCCCCGATACCTCTCAAGCTCTAGTAGTGCTGGTTTGGGGCTCCTTTCCCCGCTGCTCCGGCTCCCGTCTCCCCCACTATCCTGTAGAATTTTCTATCTAATGGAAGGCTGCTGATTTCCTCCTCCCACTTTTCTCTCTAACTGAACTTTTATGTTTGGTAAATTGCTGCTGCCCTTTGGTTGTTGGTTCTTGCTTTTGTTGGAATCATGGGTAAGAAGATACTCCCTCCCTAAAGTAATATAAGAGCTTTTAGATCACTAAAGTAGTGATCTAAAAGATCTTATATTACTTTATAGAGGGAGTAGAAGATAATGGACTGCACTGACTAAATATATGCTAAACGGCTTGATGCTTAATTGATAACTTTTTTTTTCAGAAAAAGTCAAACATATCGCGTATCCATATTGGTGCAATATAGAACAAAGGATACAAATAAATTCAGATAATAGGGACATCTTTGGGGGAGTAGATTTAACATGCGAAACAGGCAACCAGAACAATTAGGACACATTGCATTTAGTGACTACTTTGCAGATTAAAACATGCAAAAAAGACATGACAGTTTTAATTAAGGACCAACCCTTATAGTACCATTGATAAATAAAATACAAGGATAATAGGAGAAAGTTGGTGCTGTGATAGCTTCTTGAACTCTGTTAAATAAGAGAAAACAGTACAATTCCAGATTGTTTTTGTCAAAGGGGAGCTGGGTTCAATTACTTTGCATAACGGAGCAGCAGTTCAAATACAAAGCAGATCAAAAGACAAGTCAAAAGCTAAAACTAAATAAGGAAGTACAGTGATAGGTAGCAGAAACAAGATGCAGATCAACATATTGTGGACTAAATTTCTAACGAAGGAGTCAGGATGATTCTGCGTGTACTAGCCACTGGAAACTCGGAACTGTACTTGGACGATAGCAAAATGTGCAAAACGCAACAGCAACCAACCAAACGAAAAAAAACGCTTATAAGACTTATTATGAGGTTAGGGAAAGAAAATTAAAAATGGTACTTCCTCCGTTCCTAAATGTAAGTCTTTGTAGAGATTTCACTATGGACTACATACGGAGCAAAATGAGTGAATCTACACTCAAAATGCATCTATATACATCCGTATGTAGTTCATAATGAAATCTCTACAAAGACTTAAAATATTTAGGAACGGAGGGAGTAGGTACAAACAAGGAATGGCTCATTTCAACTTGCGGCACTGTCTCACTAGCTCCTCACTTTTAACAGAAGAAGAGTCAGCAAGAGCAAGAAGGCATAGCAAGGCTGGACAAGATTAAACTCAAAACTGGCACAATCGAAACAATCTAATCTGAAATGGTTTGCAAGAAGCAGGCAAACAACACATAACAATGTAAACACAACACATAACAATGTAAACAATCAGTCAGGCACGGAGAAGCTCAGATAAAATCAAACATCACAGACAACTGAGGAATAGCAGAGTTAAGATGAGATAATGCTAATAGTAGATACATGCCATTGCCATTGGTTCAAGGGCGCCTCTAAAGTTATAATACTAAGACCACACACACAGATAGGTTGATGACTAATCCTCCGGATCAATCAACTACTAGTGTAGATAGATAGCATTGGTAAACCTCTTCATCCCAGTCAGTCAAATTACAAGAGGAACAATCTCACGCCCGAACAAGCCCATCAACACCATGGGAACCCTCCTCCTCCAGCTTGCAGAACAAGTAGGCATATTCAGCCCTGAGCTTCTCGATCTTGTTGCAGTCATCGTCCTCCACCTCCTCCGGCTGGAGGCGCATGTAGGCGTATTCCTCAGTGCTGTAGTCCTTGTACTTCATCCCTGGATGGTCAGCCCTGAGCTTGTCGGCATGGGCGTTGTAGTCTGCGATGAGCCTGACCATGAACTCCTCCTCTTCGTCCGAGTCGCAGTCATCATCATCCTCCTCCTCCTCCTCCTCCGCCTTGGCCTTCACGGTGAACACCGCCTCCTCCTCCGACTTAGCCTTGAAGGTGAACGCCGCCTCCTCCTCCGACTTAGCCTTGAAGGTGAACGCCGCCTCCTCCTCCGACTTGGCCTTGAAGGTGAACGCCGCCTCCTCCTCACGGTCCTCCTCCGCCTTCCTCTTAGAGCCACACCCCGCCTTGACAACGAACCTCGCCCCCTCCGCCTTGGCCTTGAGGGCGTACGGCTGCCGCTCCGCCCTGGCCTTGCCGGCGAACGCCTCCGCCATCTCCTTCTCCGCCTGTGTCGCGATGAAGGGGAAACCCTCGTAGCCGGCGGCCATCGGGACGGCGAACATCTTCTCGACGAACATGGCTGGATCTGCTCCGCCTCTCCCCTCCTCTGCTGGTGGTTAGGGTTAGGTTTTGGTGGATTGCGGATTTCTCTCGCTGGATCTGAAAACGAACGGGTGGAGGAGGCGGCGGCGGCTGGCATATATATATGTCCATGCCAACCCTAGCCTATCCGCCTCGGCCTCGAGTCGGAGCCGGGGGCCTCGTCTCCGGACCGGCCTCTTCCAGACTCGTTGATTGGGCTGGGCTAGCCTCGGCTCGGCTGGCCTGGGCTGGGCCCCCATCACTTCTTTCATTCCGCTAGCTAGCTTGTTGGGCAGTCTTCTCGAAAGAAAACAAAATCTACTAGCGTTTTGCCAGCGGTTCTTTCGGCAGGATTTTGTTAATTCGAAGGTTTCTATTAATTTCCTAAAAAAAGGTTTCTATTAAAATACATCGGAGAAAAAGATATTTAAGAACAATAGAATTTTGTGGATTTTAGAAAATGTTCACAAATTTGCAAAATTCCTAGATTTTCTAAAAATGTTTGTGAATTTAAATAATCAAGAATTTGGAAAACAATTAGACACTAAAAACTTTCGAAATGTTTGTGATTCTACTAAGTTTAGGAATTTTAAAAATGCACCTGAATCTCAAAAATGCTCACGAATTAAAAAAAATGTTTCTGAGTTTTTAATAAGTTCATATAACAATCTAATCTGTATACTGTAAGCAATCTATATACTGTAACACATGAAGAGTCAAGAAGAGCAAGAAGGCATAGCAAAGCTGGACAAGACTAAACTGAAACTGGCAATAAAAAAATCTAATCTGAAATGGTTTGCAAGGAGCGGCCAAACAACACATAACAACGTAAACCAGCACGCAGGCACGTAGAAGCTCAGAGATAATCAAACATCGCAGACAACTACGGAATAGCATACTGAGTTGAGATGATTATAATGCTAATAGTAGGTACATGCCATTGTCATTGGTTCACGGGCACCTCGTAACTTGATAATACTATAAGATCATACACACACAGAGGTGGATCGCTAACATAGATGTCCTCCAGATCGATCAACTACTACTAGTGTAGATAGATAGCATTGGTAAACCTCCTTCATCCCAGTCAGTCAAATTACAAGAGCAACAATCTCACGCCGGAACAAGCCCATCAACACCATGGGAACCCTCCTCCTCCGGCTTGCGGAATGAATGTGGATGCCGGGTTTTCCAAGATCGGAGATAGAGCGGCCTCAGCAGCGGTATGTAGGGACAAACGGGGCAAGTACCTAGGTGCCTCGGCAGTCATCTATGAAGGCCGATCTGACCCTACCATCCTCGAGGCACAGGCTTGCAGTGAGGCTCTCTCACTTGCAGCAGATTTGCATATTCAATCATTTTGTGTTGCATCAGATTGTCTGGAAGCGGTGCAGCGGCTTCTCTAAGTCCCGGGTGCCACGTGTGGCTTAGCATTTTGCCCGAAATTCTCTGTATCCCCATTATTTTGAACTTCTAATAAAGGATACAGCAGCTCAAAAAAAAGTAGGCGTATTCAGCCTTGAGCTTCTCGAACTTGTCGCAGTCATCATCCTCCACCTCCTCCGGCTTGCGACGCATGTAGGCGTATTTCTCAGTGCTGTAGTCCTCGTACTTCATCCCTGGATGGTCAGCCCTGAGCTTGTCGGCATGGGCGTTGTAGTCTGCGATGAGCCTGGCCATGAACTCCTCCTCTTCGTCCGAGTCGCAGTCATCATCCGAGTCCTCCACCTCCTCCGCCTTGGCCTGGACGGTGAACGCCGCCTCCTCCTCCGCCTTGGCCTTGACGGTGAACGCAGCCTCCTCCTCACGATCCTCCTCCGCCTTCCTCTTACAGCCACACCCCTCCTGGATGGTGAACGCCTCCGCCTCCTCCTTCTCATCCTGGGCCGCGGTGAGGGGTAAACCCTCGTAGCCGGTGGCCATCGGCACGGCGAACTGCATCTTGTCGACGAACATCGCCGGGTCTGGTCCGCCACTCGCCTGGTTTGGTGGATAGGGGATTTCTCTCGCTGGAACGAACGGGAGGAGGCGGCGTCAGCTGGCGTATATTATATGTCCAGGCCACCAGCGTCTCCGGACCGGCCTCTTCCAGACTCGCTCATTGGGCTGGGCCCCCCGTTATTTCTTTCTTTCCGCTAGCCAGCTTGCGTGCCGTGAAAGAAAAAACTCTACTAGGAGCGTTTTGCCAGGTTCTGTTAGCTGGTCGGTATTTTTCGCTGGATTTTGTTACTTGGAAAAGTTTCTATTAAAATATATTACAGAAAAAAATAGGGTCGCGCTAACTGCCACACGTGTGGCAGGAAGGGAGACGCACCACACGTCTCTAATGTTCACGTCATCGCATGCATGCATGCAGGAATCTTTTTGGATTTTCAGTTTTTTAAATGTTTTATCTCTTAAACGAAAAATCCGATTGAAAATCCGTTTTCACCATTAAATCCCTCGCGATGAGATCTTCGAAACTAGATCCCATGTTGATATGTTTTGATGAAAAAAAATTTGGATTAAAAGTTGCCATGTCTATTGCATATGAATTGCCATGATGTTTACACTGAAGTTGCCATGATATGTTTCAGCTATTTTCTTCTACATTTAAAAGTAAATTTTGACATTTATAAAACGGGGAATTAAGAAACTAGACTTGCCATGAACCATAAACTAAAATTGCCATAATACATGCACATAAAATTGCCATGGTTCATACAAAAAGTATTTTTCATGGTCAAAGTACTGGAGTTGCCATCATCAAAATACTAAAATTGCCATGATCTACAAACTAAAATTGCCACATGGCAACTTTAGTTTAAGCCCTATGGCAACTGCAGTGTAAACATCGTGGCAACTTCTGGCAAAAAAAAATTCGTCGAAACATATCAACATGGGGTCTAGTTTTGAAGATCTCGTCGAGACGGATTTAATGGTGAAAACGGTTTTTTAGTTCGCTTTTTTATTTAGGAGATACAACATTTTTAAGCCGAAAACCAAAAAAAAATCTGCTGATGTCATCTATTCATACGTGGCAAAATGAGTGGTGATGGAGACGTGTGCACGATGTGCAAACGCCCACACGTGTGGGCGTTAACATTTCTGAAAAAGTATTTAAGAATAGTAGAAGTTTTAAAACAATACTCACAAAATTTAATAATCGAGAATTTGGAAAACAATTAGACACTTAAAAAAAATGAAATGTTAGTGATGTGGATCTTTTTAAAAGATTCGCCGCCTTGCGGGTCGTTGGATGTGGCACAATCTTAGTAGCTCAAAGTCTTCCTTTGCTTCGCAATAGAGATCTTGTTGCAGAAACATTTGCAACATAGATTATGTTGCGGATTTTTTGCAACATAGGTTGTGTTTTTTTTTGCAACATAGCTTGTGTTGTGAGATTTTCTGCAACAGAGTTCTTGTTTTAGTCTTTTTTGCAACAAATGTTTTGTTGCAGACTGTTTTTGCAACAGAGCTGCTGTTGCAAAAGGTTGTCTAAATTGCCGACGTAGTTTGCAACACATATGTTGTTGCAAGAGAAGGTAAAGGGGCACGTGGTAGGAAAGGGAAATAATGAACGTGTGCGAGCATGCCTAAGGGCATATGATCAAGGGCGACCCAACGACTGCGCGGGTGGTGGAACTCTTTGAGCTATCAGCCGACAGAGCATTAGCGTTTCCCTTTTACTAAGTTTAAGAATTTTAAAAATGTACCTGAATTGAAAAAATGTTCCCAAATTGTAAAAAAAAAAATGAAAGTGTTCCTGTATGCCAAAACATGTTCACGAAATTTAACAAATCATGATTAAAAATGTCATGTATCTAAACTGTGGCGACAAATTTGAAGTAAATTTGTGGATACAAAATATGATCCCGGATATGAAGAAATGTCATGAATTCAAAAATTTGTTCCCAAATTAAGAAAACATGAATCTGAAAAAAATGTTCATGAGTTTGGAAAATATTCTTGAATATGGAAAATGTTCGCAAATTCAAAAGGTCTTTTGAAACAAGTTTCAAAAAATATTCATGACATTAAAAATAAAAAGGAAATAATTTTAAAATCAGGATAAAACTTGTAAAGCCATAAAAAATTTCAGAAAAAGATAAAATTGATGGAAGGAAGGTTCTTGAACTGAACCTTCCCAAAACCGGAGGGAGAAAGAATAGTGGGTCGGCCTACAAACGCCCTAGAGGGTACACGTGTGGTCGTTGTCGTGGTTCTAAGTCTGACAGTAGTGTAGGGGGTTAGGAATGGAGAGGCAAGATCCTAGCTATGGAGTAGTTGTATACGCAAGAGGTTTACGAGTTCAGGCCCTTCTCGGAGGAAGTAACAACCCTACGTCTCGGAGCCCGGAGGCGGTCGACTGGATTATGTGCATATGAGTTACAGGAGTGCGAACCCTTTACACTGAGGAGGGGGTGGCTTATATAGAGTTCGCCAGACCCCTCCGGCCCTCAGTTATGTAGGGTTTAAGGTACATTAAGATCAAGCATTACTGATAACGCCACAAATAAAGTGCTATGATGACCATAAAAGCTACTTAATGACCGACCGTTTGTGTGCAGAGTGACTTTAGATCTCCTGGCTGTCGAGTGGTTGGCTTCATGGTCGAGTGTCTTCGAGTCCGTCGAGTGGAATACTTCTGAGTCGATTGACAGGTGGTTTCTTCTAGAGATGTCCTTGGGGAGGGTAGTTTGGACAGGTCCATGACCCTACCCTAGGTACATAGCTTCATCATTAGCCCCCGAATGGATCGAGGTTTGAGTGGGGAAGGGGTTGAGAACTCTTCCGACCCATTTTTCGTGCTATGAACGTATCTTGTTCTGGATCCATGAATCTTAAGTAACGACACCAACTTCTTTTTCGGTCGCCTTGATCCATTCCTGGTTTCAGTCGAGTGAATTTCTTTACTTGAAAAGCTCCGAGTGACGGTGTGGAGGGGATCCTCCATCTGACAAGTTGTTTCGCTGCTCGCAGATTTGGCGGGATTCGAATTTTGGGAAACGCGCGG